AAACTGACACTCGTGCACCCCCTTTAAACAGCAGCCCCCCTATCCCACATCCCCCTCTTCCTCCGCCTCTGTTGTAATAGTGGTGTGGAACAAAAAAACAGCAGCTCGACAACACGCAAAACAAATGAAAGTAAACAACAAGAGATTTTTTGTATGACGATTTTTCTTTTTTTTTTATTTAGCCGACTTTTTCGGCTCAGCTTACACAAAAGTCCTGATTTTTTTTGTCGGTCGCCGAGCATAAAAATCAAAAAAATAAATAAAGAACACAGGGAAAAAAGTGAATTTATTTTATACGTTCACTGCTCGTAAAAATCAATGAAAACATTTGTCAGGACAAGCTTTTCTGGCTTGATGGCCGCCCACCTTGCCAATCTGCCAGGGAAATGGGGGGAATGGGGGGGGGACTACTGGGATCGGGGGTGGAAGTTATTCCAATGAAATGCCTGCGAAAAGTTTTTCCGAGCCAAGTTTCGTATGAAATTTGTAGCCAGTGGATGCGGAGGGGAAAATAGGAGGAGCCAGAAGCAGGGAACTATAAAACTTGAAGTTTGAGTTTCTTTGAAACTGTTTTCATTTCTTTATTTATTTTCGCTCTCCTTCGTCTGCCTTCGTTCTATAGGTGGAAAGGAATGTGTTTGATGCAAGCCAAGTTAATTGGATTAACACCGAGGCCCTCTATCGCACAAACACACACACACACAGACACACATACACATACAAACAACCAGCCAGTGTTGCGAAATTCGATTTATGGTCAAAATGATTTAATTGCCAAACATGCCCAAAAAGTAAGGACGAACGGAGCTGCAAAGGGAATTTTTGTATTCTTGTACTTTCTTTTTCGAGTTGTTGTTTAGCTTTTGGAGTTTGGTAATGGAAGTTCAAAGCGGGCCAAGAAAATTGCAAAGGGAGATGTGTGGCAAATGGATCTTGGGCGGCAAACTTTGTCACGCACTCGGAAACTCATTTCAAGTGCGAACTGACTGAACTATCGGATGTTGGTAAAGGGTTTCGGTGTTATGACTTGCTTCCAACAAAACTTTTCGACTAATGGACTAACCAGATTGATTTTGTTTTGTATATTTTTACTCTAGACTAAATAATAAAAGCCTTGACTAAAGGATGAGCTTGAAAAGACACCTACTTCGTTGCAATTTTTGGGTTCAGCCAAGGGCGCCATACAATATCCAAGTACTTGAATTATTTAAGTGCAATTAAGAATTAGGCCCACTCGAAATTGTTTATAAAGTGAAACGAACCCCAATTTTCATTTATGTAGCTTGAGTGAAAAGTTGTTCTTGCCGGGAATGGCGCAATTACAAATTGTTTCCAGTCTGAAGCTCACTTGAAGACATGTACCAACTCCGCTTGAAAGCCATCTACAGACCTCCATTACACCGCTTCTCCCCTTCGCAGGCCCTCGGAGTTTCACCGTGTAATTTGGCCACCCCTCTCACCGGCCACAGACAAAAAAAAAAAAAAAACTCATTTCATGTAATTAATTAAAGTGACCCCCAGGAAAGGTCAACAACAAAGCCAGCAAAAAGGGACAATGCTCGTCCCGCTGCTTACTTTGTGACTACTTCTGACACGGCTCAAGTGCATCAAAGTCGGGGGACCATTCGGGTCTGTCTGGTAATTTGATCAACTCACTTCGCCTCACCTTCCCGCTCCTCCGCTCCGTTGCTCCTTCGTGCTGCCTTTTGTTTTAAGGACATAACACATTTTTCCACATTGCTGAGCACTTTTTCGAGCGGTCGGAGGTGGCCGGCTAATAATTTAGTTAAGTTGGGACCAAGTCAGGTAGGGCTTCACCACCAGTATTTCTTCCCGCTTTTTTTTTTTTGTGTTTGTGTCCTGCTTACCTTTTCCCTTGTGGCATATGGAAATTGGAATCCCATCAAATGTAAGCGTGGCTCAAGTTGCCATCGTCATCGCCATCGCCATCGCCATCGCCTTCTAGTTTTTTATTCCTCCCTGTACACGAAATAAAATTAGCTCAATGAGCATTTGTGCAATCAAGTGATTTTTAAACAAGCAAATGGACGGGGGTTTTTTAGGAGCGCAACCCCTGGGACGAAAGGGTTGTGTCGACGGGCTTGTGGATGTGCCACGGATACGGGCGGAACTCAAAACCCAACCCAACCTCAACCCCTTTGGGACGGCGGGCTGTGGCAAATAAATTTCACACATATTTGCACTCTCATGTGTGTGTTCAATAATTTTTGTTTTTTTTTTTCTCATTTTATTTTCCCCTACAAGGTCGTCTTGGTTGATTGTAGTGGAAACGAGTAGAAGGAGAGGTGTTTTTAGTAGGGGGTTCTTCTTCACAGTGACTCACAAGATAATAGTACCAAGTGGTGACCCCAAACTCATAGCTTTACTTACCAATAATCTCACAAAATATTTAAATACTTACAATAACTTTTGGTTTAGGTACGAAGTGGTGGTACTGACTAGTAAAAACTTCAGGATATTAGTGCCAAGGGGTGACCCCAAAAACTCGAATATGTATATGTATATATATAGGTAATTATAATATCAGAAAATATTTAAATACCGTTTTAAACTCTATGTTCTTTGATTTATAAAAGATTTTATATGTTCATGCTCTGTTTTCGTACAGCTATTATTTCAGCGGTGGCTGTGCATTAGGTACTATATCAAAGTTTGTTTATCTGTGGGCAAACAGCAGCCCCTTCCAGCGAAGGAACATGACTCATGACACAGTAGCCCAAAGAAAGGGTTGCTCCGGAGTCTCAGGACTCAGCTGCGGGTCTTCCGACATCCGAACCGAAAAGTAAAAAAAAAAAAAAAAATAAAATAAAATAGAAGGAGAATCGAATGGGAATCCTTTGCATGTAGGACTTCGGTTCGGTGGCGGTTTCTTTGACGATTAATTTGGTGCACAGATCATTGATTAACAATTGGCCATTGATTGAGGGTTGCAGAAAAAAAAGAAGAAAGGAAAACAAGAGGAAATCAGGGCAGCTTCTGTTCAATAACTATTTATTAGGGTTACCAAAATAATTAGCTCATTATTTCGATAGCCTTCCTCTTACCTTAACCTTTATTGGGTTTATTTAAGATTATTTCCCATTCCCACCTACCGCAAAAATTCCCAAGTCTTTTCAACAAAATCAATAGCCCAACCTTACCGAAAAAGAAAAAATATGATAAATGGCTGTGGAAAGCGTTTTGACTTGAAGGTGACTTTAAAGTATTTGAACGTGTCTGAGCTGGAAAACTCAACTGGCGACATTCCGCCGCTCATCATCTTTATCAGCGGCATCGTCACGATGATCATTATCATCATTTACACAGGTTACACTCAACTTCCTAGGAGCTTATTCCTTTCGCCTGCTTTCTTTTTACATTTTTGTCAATTTACCGCGAACTCAAGTCATTTGCAAGCCGACTTTGTACGTGTGTGTGTGTGTGTGGTTGTGTGTGTTTATGCTTGTATGTGTGTTTGTGGAAAATTCTGAGCTTAAGAGGGTCGGAAAAGTGGGGGTGATGTGGCAACGGTAGCCGCCTGTCACATTTGCCGCGACACGATTTCCTCTAACTTCCAACTTCCACCTTTCCCTAACCTCAACACATCCTTATTTATTCCTATTTTTATGTTCATGGGCGGAATAAAAAAAGAAAAAAAAAAAACGTACAAAAAAAAAGTAACTGAAACGAAACGAAACGGTGGCAACTGAAACCGAAAAAAAAGGGAAAATAAAATGGCAAAAGGCAAGCAGTTATTCTTGCTGCGCATTTTCACTCCTTCACCCCATTTTCCCGGCGACATTCATTCGCATTCCTCCCAATTGTGTTATAAATTCAAAAATGAATAACGCACGTTTGCTTGTGGTTTGAAATTCTATTTTATTTGTATTGTGCAAAATGCTTTAACTTCTTTTTTTTCCTTTTTTTTTCTTTGCTCGGGTTTCATTCTTGGCTCAATTAAAACATTTTTGCAATGACATTTGTGTGGCTTGGCGAAGGACTGGAAAAAGTCGGACTTTTGTGACCAACTGCTCCCCATTTGGGTTTCTATTTTTCCCTCTTTCTTTTTTTTTTTTTTTTGTTTTGTTAAGTCGGCTTAAGGACATTTTTTTATTATTGAGCATTTTGCGGGTTGCAGTGGAAGCAATTTCGTTGATGTAGTTGTTTGGGGTTTCCCAGCAGAAAATCTTTTATATCAGGAATAGAAAAAAGGCAAAGACGAATATGTTCCGTTCTCTAAAATATATTAAATGATATTAATTGAATGTAAAAGTGAATTAAATAAATAACTATTCTATTTGTTATGACAAAAAGATATAATGTAATTTAAAAATTCACTGATAGTAGGAAAGAAAACTTTGCAAAGCAAAAACTTTAGCCAAACTGTTGAAATACATCCCCAAAAATAGTAAACTCATCTTGACTCCAACTGGCCACAATTATCCTTGCTTACTGCTGGAAATCTCAATCAGAAAACGAGAATCCCAGAATTCCGAGGCCAATCGAGAGAATCCGGTCTAAGTTCCATAGACAAACGGCATCAGAATTTAATTCAATTGCAAATCCCATATCATCCCCACAAAGTTGAGAGAAACATTCAATTATGAATTCTGAGAGAAGCTACAAAAACACACACATTCACACACACAAACACACACACACACAAGCACACACAAAAATCGAAAAAAGGAAGAGGAAAAACTACAGAAAACTGTTTTATTTATCCAACATTTGACTTTGAAATGATGAAAATGGCAAAGCTAAAAGAAAAACCAGGGGGAAATTTTCATTTGGTCTGACATTGTAAGTCACATTTGATGTACAATGCTGCTGGTCGCTCTGCAGCATTTCCATCATTGATGGAGTTTCTTTTTCGGGAATTTTCCGTCCTCGGTCCACAGTCTACAATCTACAGTCTGCTTGAAAAATATACGCATGCTAATTAAATTTCAACTCAGGACTAATATTTTCTCGTTTCTCGTTTTTGTGTTTATTTACAGGTTCCCAGAAGGTTCCGGAGCAAAAAGCGTAACTGGAAAATTTCTTTAAAAAATTTCGGTAAGTGGAAGTGGGTTTTTTTTTGGAGGAATGGGGGAAATCTTTTTTATCGAGCAGAACCTTTTTCATTTCGCTGATACTAAACTTATTGGAATTTCGAAAATGATAGCGTTGACATGAAAGTTTCTTTTTCCCCCACAAAACCCCGAACCCCATGTCCATGTCATCACCCAGATTTCTTTTATTTTACTTTTATTGTGTTTTATGTCGCAACAGACTCACACAAAAAAGTCAACCCAGAAATCGGCTTAGCGTACAAAACAGAGGGAAATTTGAAGAGCAACAATCCGAAAGATGCGTATCTTGTGGTCCCCCAAAATAATCCCCCCCGACCTCCTCCCAAAAAAAAAAAACATTTCTTTCAGTGTGCGTGTGTTTAACTGTCTCTTCATCAGCATCTTCAGCTCAATATTTCTGATATGCATCTCATCGTTTGCCAGTGTGTGTGTGGCTTTTTATTGTGATTGGGGGTAAGAGGTTTTCTTTTTTTTTTTTTACCCCCAACTCTTCTTACTTTTCCGAAAAGATACAAAACGTATCTGCAGCTGGCCGCCGTCCGTCGAGCGTTTTGTTTATGATTTGTCAAGATCTTAAGGCCAGGAAAATGTGTTTTAAATTGCCACAGCATTTGGGCGATAAGAAGCACATTTAAGCGGAGAAAATGCGGGAAATATCCAGGGATTGATATGATTTCTTTTCACTTTATTAAAAAGAGATATTATACTTTAGGGGTTTATCTTTAAATTTAGTAAGACATATTGATGTTGTGGTGCAAGTTCTCGTCGGATTAAAATTTGTTGTGCAGAAATATCCAGGGATTGATATGATTTCTTTTCACTTTATTTAAAAGAGATTTTATATCTTAGAGGTATTTCTTGAAATTTACTAAGACATATTGATGTTGTGGTGCAAGTTCTCGTCGGATTAAAATTTGTTGTGCAAAGGAGGCCAGAATGGGTGGGGTTTTCCCTGGCAAACTGTAAATGAACCCGCTCTCCTCCAGTGCTAATAAATTCACCTTTTACCGCAAAATATTGCCCAACATTTGCGAAAGACAAACAGCTCGCCCCATTCCTTCTTCTTGGCCGCCCTGTATCTCCATCTCCATCTCCATCTCGTTCTTCTGTGGGCGTAGTGCCAACATAAATCTCTTCAACAATCTGCCAAAACCCCCCAACCCACGAATTTTCCCCCAGCATTTTCCTGCTCATCTTTCGGCTCCTGTTTTTCCCCGCCTGGCTGTTGATTTTTGTCAACCTAATACAAAAGGCAAACAAAATTTGTGTTGGCATTTGGTTAGATTTGCCTGAGAGGGTGGAGATGGAGTGGACGGCGGGGGTGGGGCGGGAAATGGAGTCGTGGGTCGGAGTTCATGGGGCAAGTGGGCACTGGGGAGTCAGTCGACTTGATGAAGGAGCCCGGAAATCAAATATTCGATGAGTTGTATGAATTACAGGTGGATCCGGAGGGGAAGGCGGATGGGCTGAAGAAATATCGGAGCGATAATCGGATGTTGAACTGAAGGGGGACCTCTGACCCCCCATGACCCCCAGTGACCCCTTGTAACCGCTTTACGCTTGAACTCCACTGCACTTTTGAACCAAAGTGGTAACTTAAGGGATAATTTAACCAGAACTATTTTTTAAATTTAATCTTAGCAGCTATTGTTTTTTACTTTTCGGAATACAATTTTTAATATCTATTATATTTTAATTTCTAATTTCTATCTCAGTACTTCAAAAATATAATTCAAATAATAAACTTGCTAAAATACTGTTTGTTAAAAGTATTTAAGATTAAGTTAACTTTTTATTTTTGAAAGTACGAACGATCTTTTTGGATTGGATTGGTTTGCACAACGTTGCGTTTTTTCCTTTTGTTAGTTTTAATTTGTTTGCAATATTTTTGCCTTGCGATATTTCGCCCTTCCAATTTTCACACCCATTTGGTCAAATATTGTTCCCTTTCATTAAGCGTTTGTTTGTTGTTCTTTCTGGCGAAGCTGGTCGAGATATTGTTGTTGTTGTTGTTGTTGTTTTTATTGGCGCTGCTGCTGCTGCTGGTGTTCGTGAATTTGTTGTTGCAGCTGCAATTGGCCACCAAGTTGTGGCCCACATTTCGGGTGGTTTTGGTTGCTGCTCTCGGCTCTGGCCGAAAAAGCTTCCACTTGAGCGATACCCCCTTACCCCTGTCGCCACTTGGCCACCCACTTCCACCCTTCTCCCCCCGGTGTAGACCACGCCCCCTTGTGCCGACGCCCTCGAAAGTTTCGTGTATGTATGTTAATTAAAGTCATTACGTGGAGGACGCCACCAAAAAGGAAACAAAAGGCGAATGAGCGAGCGCCTGCAAATTGTGCACGGCCCAAAAAATATGAATTCATATTATTATTACTTAAGAACTCTTTAAATGATATTAAAAATTAATCAAGGCATTACAAAAAGTACAAAAGAGGAGAAAAGCATTTATTGACAATTATCAATAATTGAATGGTTTAAAATAGGATAAATTCTAAATCGAATATACAAAATTTAATGTTTTTGAAATATCAAGAATATTTACAGTTTTACTGTTTAAGAAATATATTTAAAGAATGCTAATTTTCTTTTGTGTACTGGCGCACAGGGGGGACCTTTGGGGGGTGGTAGTAAAAGGGAGGGGTGTGCACACACGCACACACACACGCTACAGCAACTACAACAACTACAAAGTGAAGCCAAACGCTGCGCCAAATTGGCCAATTTTCATATGCATGCCAAGCAGCAAAGGCAGGAACTGAAAAGCAGGAGCAACAGCAGCCGAGCTCAAAAAGGGAAGGGGGAAAGTGCGGGAAAGCGGGAAAGCGGGGGGAAAGTGGCAAGGAAAATCTCCTCTTTGGCATTGACATCAATGAATAATTTCAGTTGGCGAGGTGCGGGGGCAACCGGAATGGGTGTGTTGTGTGTGTAAGTGTGTGTGAGTGTGTGTGTGTCCCAACTGCAGACGCCACGTGTCAGGAGCATTGTTGAAATAACGAAACATGTGAGGTGACTGCACTTCGAGAAATGTGCAGCTAGTGCTAAGAGACTAAGATTAAGTTTAGAAGAAGGGTGCAGGACTTCTCGTGGGTAAATATAATTAATTTCCAAACTAAGGGAAATAATCCTTTGAAAAAATAACTCATGATAATAATATTCTCTTTTGAGTAATGAATTCGAATTTCTTAGCAAACTAAATATATTTAATTTTAGTCATAAAAATATAAGAAACAAAAAAAAGGTTTATATAAATAAATAACCTTTATTCGGAGGAGAAATGTTTTTTTTTCATACAAAACTTGTATTTTAAACCAATATTATAACTAATTTAAAATGTAAGCATTTTTAGTGGCACAATATAGTCTTGTATTTATTTAACTAATTGTTTCTCTTAAAAATGAGTTTCTAATTCCCCCAATTTTTTGTCTGTGCATTTGCAATTGTAGCCCGGGGGCAAGTGCCTTTTCTGGCTGTGTAATAGTCCTTTCATCGGCCTCTCCATCGCATTGGCATAACCAAGCCGCATGCCCCATGCCTCATCCGCCTGGGTGCCTCCTCCATCCACATCCATATCCACTTCCACATCACATTGGCATCGTCTGAGGCTCTAATGATGCACAACATGCGCAAAATGTGTTAATGACAAACCAACCAACTGACTGCCACAACGACGAATCATGAGTTCTTTCGCAGAACTCGATCATCGCCTAATGAGTACCGCCCGAACCTGTTGCCCTTTTTTTTCCACCCAATCTTCCTCCCCCTTTCCCACCAAAAACGGGAGGTGGGGGGCGTGGCAGGTGAGGTGGCCGGGAAGGGGATTGTAGTTTGTGGGGGCGAATTGTGGAGCTCGCCTTGAGTTACTTTTGCTTTTCAAATCGATGCCGGTGCGCTGCCGTTTCTAGAGTGCCGTGGCCAGAGTGAAGCAAATTAAATTGCAGCATGAAATCGAATTGCCAGCAGGCAGCTGAGGCATTCAAATGCCGGGCAAAAAGGGGGAGGGAAGAGGGAAAAGGGGGGGCAGGTGGAGATATCCATAAGATACATTCTGTGCCTGGTCTGCAGCTGCTGCCTTTTTCCACAACGAACAGGAAGAGGATGAACCCAAGATTCAGCAGACTTTAAATTGCTTTTGCCGCCCCCTCTCACCTGGCAGAAAATAGAAAGAAAAAAAAGAAAACCCAGGGAAAACTGAAAAAAAAAAAAAATAGAGAAAATAGCTGGTGCTGCTGCAAAAAGCGCTCTACAAAGTGTTCGATTAAAATAGATATTTTTATGGCTTTTGCATTCGAAAATTGCATTAGGCAAGTGGTTGCCTTCGCCGAAGTGCAAGGAAGAATTGTTTTCATTGCCCAGATCGACCCATAAAGATATCGCCGTTCTCGAAGCAAGAAGCGACTTTAACTTTTGCCACAATAAAATGTACAAATTTAAGTTACACCAGTTCAAATTGAAAAATAACAGAGGAAATCCGTTTAGTTTTCCCCACCAGCGTTTAATTGCTGAAACTTTTGTGCAGCAATTTCCCGGGATCACTGCAAGTGCAGATATGTTTTATGAATCCATCCCAAATCTTAATTGAAAAATGCATATCAATATGCGAAACTGGCCGTTGTTTCCATTTAGATTTATGTTGGGTTTTTTTTTTTTTATTTTTTGTTTTGGTTATGACTTTTATTTTTGGACTTGAACCAACTCAATCAGGGAAAATCAAAATGTTGCAAAAATGTTGTTGCTGCAAATAAACGGCATATTGTTGTCATTGTTGTTGCCGTGTTATCATGGGTTTTTTGCGTGGCAATTGTTGTTACTTTTGTTGGCAACGCCTCGACAAGACCACAAACAACTCGTTAGAATTTGCATGTGAAATGCAATCGGCCAAAACAAAACCAAGTCCAAAAAAGGGAAACAGTCAACGCCGAAAAACAGCGAAAAAGCCAAAGAAAACTTTGTATAAAAGCGGTGACTGCGTGAAGGGATTTAAATCTTGTTTAAGGTGAAAATAAAGTGAAACTATTAATGATTTTGCTTTGATTCTTAAGCTTTTAACTACCAACATATTTATGTTTTTGGGAAATTTATTACAATTTTTAAAGTTACCTCGTGACACGTGGAAAATGCAACACGAACTCAACTCTAAGCCAAATATTGCAAAGTTAACAAAAAAGGTGAAAACGAAAAGGCAAATACGCAGGCACAAACATTTCCCAGCTTTGTTAAGTGGAAAAGAGATGGGCATAAAAGCGAGATAACGTTAGAGTTTTCCGTGGGGCTTGGGGGGTTTTTTTTTGGAGGGGAAATAGAAATATCTATGGGGCGATGGAAATTGGGTATTCCTGCAACAGCAACAAGGGCATTTGGCTATATAGCAGCGGATGGCTATCAATTTGATATATCAATCAGAGCGAGGGCCAAAAAAACAAAGAAATTCGAATAAAAATCCAGCCGAGAGGAAGGGAAATTCATTTGGATTTTGGGAGCTCCCCCAATTTAGGGGGCGTTAAAAGGGGCGGAGGAGGCTTTCAACAAAGGAGCCTGGTGTGAACGCTAATAGCCAGAACATTTACCCATCGACAAGATACCGGGAATAATTAGTTGTGCACAGCTGTTACTTTTCGTTTCATAAAATATAGAAACAATTAATATTCAATGCTTTATTGAAATGTGCATAGAAAAAATATAAATAAGAAATAAAATATTAAAAAAGAAAATAATCAATTTTATCCTATCAGATTTTTATTTTTCCAAATAACATTGCTACAGTTCAAACAAAATTCTCTAAATTTATTATGATCTCTATACTTTGTGCAGCATTTAAAAATAAGAAAAAGAAGACATTTAATAATCCAAAAATGTATATTTGCATACATTTCAGTATTCAGTATTGGTTTGATTTATATGACTTGTTTTCTTGGTTTTATGTCCTCGGAGTTATTAATATTTGGTGGCGAAGTAAATACGGACTTTGCCGTCTCAATTCACAGAAAAACACACAGTAATAACCATCGCATCTTGAGGCGATATTTGATACGGTTTTATTATTTTCTGTGCGTTAATAGCCACAACCCCCTTTCCCCCTCTTTCTCCACCACCAAAAAAAAAAAAAAAACTTGGCCTTGAGCTGGACTTACATGTGCATGTGCTTATGCACACATACATGTATATATACATATAGTACGTTCCGGTTTTGTCAGTCTGTTTCTAGGATTATCTTGGACACACGCTGTGGCACTCATAAAAGGGCGGCCTGCCCTCTGATTGATTTATGTTTTTCCCCCCACGCAACAAATGTGGATCAGAAGGGGCAGAAAGGGGGAAGCAAAAGGGGGAGGGGGAGAGGGAGGGGGGGAGGGGTGGCAAAGGGTGGTGGCTCTCGTCACTAGCTATTTTTTCTTCCAGCTACTTCTTGGCCTTCTTCTTTTGCCCGGCTGGCTCATTTCTCCTTTGACTGTTAATAGCTTTAATGCTGTTTTATGGCATTTCGTGGAGAAAGGGCCGCAATTTAGGGGAAGGAGCTGCCAAGGGGGAGCGGAGGGGGTGGAGGTGGGGGTGGGGTATTGTACACATCGGGATCTGGAACTGGAACTGGAAACGAAACTGAAACGAAACTGGGACCTGGCATGCCAACGCCAAATGTTTTACATGCGTGCCACTCTAGCACTATAAAAAAATATATATCCAATAATTATCATTTTAATGGGAAACTAGAAAAAAATTTAACTTTTAATGAGAAAAAAATTAAGAGAGTTTTTTTTTTTGTTCGAAAGAAGATAGTGATATTTAAACTAATCAATTATTAAATTAAACATTTACATATAAACATAAACAAAATATTTAATTAGTTGGATCTACCTTACAACAAAAGTACCTGATGATAAATTCTTATTTTCAATTATTATAAGATCATCTAGAAATTCCGTTACTCTTTTTGTTTATTTTAGCCTTTGCTACCTGAGTTGTTTTTTTTTTTCGAGTGCATTTCGCCTGCCACTTAGTGTGGCAACAATGTTTGCGCATAAATAAATTGGAATCGACTGCGGGTGCGGGTTTTTGGGTCTTGGAGCTGTGTGCTGCTCATAATTCCAGCTTTTATTTGTGGGATTTTGGCATGGCATGTCAGTCATGCATCTCTGCATCTCCCCACCGGCTGTTTTGCAGCATTCCTTGCCACCATCCTCCTTCTCCTCCTCCTCCATCCTCCTTCTTTCCTCCCATGATGATTCACCCTTGACCATACTCCACTTGCCACACTGATTAATGGCTCTCCCTCGCTCTCTGTTTTCTTTCTTTTTGTTCTGCAGATGATGCCCGACTCCGTTTGCCGTTGAGAGAATCCCCGGGAACTTTTCAGCCGAGCAAGGAGAATCCTCCGGAGAGAGCGTTAAACCCCGATCCAGCAATCCAGATCAGTGCGATATATACACAATGTATCCGGCGAGTGGAAGTGGAGGCAGTGCAGCAACGGCTGCCAAATTCCAGAATCGCTGTGCATCGCCGCAGTTTGCCAGCGATTATCCGCATCCGCATCCGCACCAGCATCCGCATCAGACGACCTCGGTGGCGGTGCACAGTGCACCGCCGGGTGTAATGGGTGGTGCAGCTGGCAGTGGCTTGGGTGGTGCTGCAGGAGGAATGGCCAGTGGCGGTGGTGGTGGCGGTGGCTCAATGTCGATGCGTCATGGCCAACGGGTGGTTGCCTCGCACCAGCATCCCAGCCAGATGACCTTGAACCACAGCGGACACGGTGGGATGGGTGGTCACAACCACGGAATGGGCGTGGCCATGGGAATGGGCCACAATCATGCCACCTTGGGGCATCCCCATCCCCACTCGCATTCGCATCCGCACAACAACAACAGCAACATGAGCAACAACATGAGCAACAGCAACAACAGCAGCGGCAACAGCAGCAGCAGCGTGGGGCAGCATCTGATCTTCCCCGACGACATGGACAGCATCGAGTTCTGCATGCCCGCCCCGCCCTCCTCCTCGTCCGCCTCCTCGCAGAACGGCCTTGGCCTGGCCATCGGCTTGGGGGAGCAGCTGCTCATGGGCGGCGGCAGCAGCCACGGAGAGGCGTTCACGGAGCGCCGGAGGCGTGGCCACAGCCGGCGCAGCAACCACAAAATGGACGTCGAGCACCAGGTGAGTCGCGCAAAAAGCCGCTCCAGGGGGTATTTTATATATTTAAAAGCAAGATCTACCATTTCAACCGTATTTAAGTAAATATATAATTTTTTTTTTGTCAAATTTTTCTACCTTTGAAAGCAAACCTTTATAACCGGCGAAATCTATTAGTGATCTTTGAACAATGTACAAATTCAAATTGTATCTAAAGTGGTACTAATCCGATTACTCTGTTCCTTTGCCATTAATTTTCAATAGCCAAACCCTTTTCCATTAAATTTTTAGGCTTACGGTTTTTGCTCTTACTTTATTATCTACAAACTTAAATGAGATTTAACTTCTAGGATATTTACAATTTTTAAGTAACCATATCATTAGATATAAGTGTACGCATCACAATTGAAACATTAAAACAAAGTCTTACTCCGTTCGATTTCTAAGAAAATTAAGCAAATATGTTGCAGATCAGCATTACAAAAAATGTAGTCCGTAATTGAGAAGTTTTAAAATAGTTATTATATGATCTAGTAATTAAAGTTTTTCAATCGTTTCGATCTCATTTGTTAATACGATGTAGGATTATGTTTTTATATTGTCAAGTAAATACAAATATATAAACTTTGGCTGCGAAAGTTACTGTCCTTTTTGGCACCCATCTAAAACATTTTCCCATATCCTTTCCGATCAGGTGAAGTGGTCTCGCAAGAACATCGCGGCCACCATGGAGCGCTTCGAGCCGACGACCAACACACAGTCCTCGTCGTCCACCTCCTCGCTGGACTACGGATTCGCCGCCGGAGTGATGACGCCCAGCGGCAGCAGTGCCACGCCCTCGCATGGAGGCGGCGCCTCGAACCCCTCGCTGCATGTGGCATTCAACGGGGGAGGTGGCGGTGCTGCCGGCGGCGGTGGTGGCGGTGGTGCAGTGGGTGGCTCCGCCTCGGGATCGGGAGCCAGTGGCTCGGGAGCAGCTGCTCCATCGGCGCCATTCAACCACGTTTACTCGTACGCCTACTACGAACCGGGAGCAGCCAAGTGCCACACGAATGTGCCCGCCTCGGGCTCCGCATCCGCCCAGGCGGTGCACCACCACCTGCAGCAGCAGCAGCAGCATCAGCAGCACCACGCTCCGCAGCAGGGACACTCGAAGAGTCCGCCGAGAAACTCCATACGCGCTCTGCTGGCGAAGAGCTTCCGCTCGAAGAGCAGCAGCAACCACGGCGGCCAGTCCACCTCGAGTTCGCCGAGCGCCGAGGAGCGGGACAGGCACACGTACACCACGCGGTACGGCACCACCGAGAACCTGTACGAGGAGGTCAGCGAGCAGAAGATCCGCAAGGTGCTCTCCGACAACCGGATCGCGAGTGGCTCCAGTGCGGGCAACGTGAAGGAGGAGCAGCGGCGCGTCCAGCACAACCACTTCCGGGTGCTCGACGAGCTGAACCTCTCGCTGGAGGCGCTCATCATGCCGCCCACTCCGCCGGACGTCAGTCCCAGTCACGTTTTGGGCGGCGCCGACGAGCCCGGCTCCTCGGTGGCCGCTGGTGCAGTGGGCGGCGGTGGTGGCTCCATCATGGCATCCAATGTGGTGGCTGCCACGGTCAGTGGCACGTCCTCGAAGACGAACACCCACAAGCCGCGGCGCGGTGGCCTTCTGGGCGGTGCCGCCGGCGCCGGTGGCAACTCGAACTCGAGCTCCGCCTCGCACGCCAGCCTGGAGAACCTGTCGAGCACCCTGAACAGCATGGAGCTGAAGGACCATCACGGCCACAGCAGCTGCATCAATCCGGAGTTCGATGAGGGCGACCTCGATTCCGGCTTCAGTGGCAGCGGCAGCAGCAGTGGCGCCAGCTACAACGAGAGCCTGCGCTACTACAAGTCGGCCACGCCCACCGGTCCGCTGCACCACCATCACCACCATGGCCAGCAGCAGCAGCAGCAGCAGCAAATGCAGATGCTGCACCACCACAGCCACAGTTTGAATAATAATACGCTTCCCCACAATTTGCGTAGCTGCCGCTCGTCCACCGCATCGGGAACTTCCACATCCAAGAGCAGCATGGCCAGTTGTGGCGAGGATCAGGGCATTGGCATGACCTTGGCAGTGGGCGGCGGTGGAGGAGTGGGTGCTGGCGGCGGTGGGGTAATGGCCACCATGCAGGAGTCGTCCGTTGGCGGTGGTGCAGGTGGCTCGCTCTCGCCCTTCAATTATCCGCGTCGCTGCTCGGCGGATCAGCAGCGAGCCTCCGGAAGATCAATGGTTTCCATTGGAGGCGGCGGCGGCGGAGGCGGTGGCGTTGGTCCCGGAATGGGCGTGGCCGTGGGCAGCATGAGCAGCAGCAGCAATGTGGCACTCTCCACCGGAGCGAAACCCAAGAAGAACTTCTGGACCATGAAACCGTGATGCTACAAAAAGGCGCTGCGTCACATTTGCAAGAAATGGACTATTGTTATGGTGAGTGCTGCATTAAATTTAATATTTAAATATATATATTTATTTAAATATGCAAACATTAAAATATAGTAAGCAGGTTATTCAGATGATCTAATGCGTGTGGGTATTAAATTAGAACTAACATTTTGTGGAATTATTTAATGTCAATTAGTTATGAATTACAATCCATTAATAACTATTGATTCAATAAGCAGTTCATATTTCCGTAATATATGCTAATTGTTTTCTTGAGCTCACAAAGTATGTCAGTAATCAAGTTTGCATGCATTTTTTAACAAACTAAATGCTCACCGACTTTAAAAAGGAGCAGAATCCCTTCAGAAATTCCACACCGAAGCGTCGGGCGTCACTTTGAATGGTAAATCACATCACATCAGCACTTCGCTCGCTGCGATTGTGTTAACCCCTTTCAATAGTTGATTGCTTTTTATGGGCATTTTGTCATTTAAGATCATCTGGCATGATTATCTCGATATTCCCACCCCCACCACTCCATTCCAATCTCAGTCGCAGTTTCAATCCCATTCCCAATCCCGAATCTCGAGTCCCAAGCACTTCCATCTCGCATCGCGCGTTCCATATCCCAAACTCGTCGTATATCCCAACTCTCGACTGCTTTTGGGCATCAATTTCAACTTTTCAACTTTAATCATAATAAATTTGCGGCCCCGTTTTCCAGCCACGGCCATGGCCATAGCTTATGGCTCCATTTCACAATCAACGAGATACTTCCGCTGGCGAGGAAGCAGATCCGCGAGAGATATAGACGGATATATGGTGAGCGGGGTGAAGGGGAAAGGGGATGGAGGGGGAGGAGGACTATCCACATTCCCAAGATAATAAATTTATTAACTGAGCGGCCCGACATCATCATTATCCATCCGAGAGAAGCGGGCAAATGTTTTCATCCCTTCCCCGCCGAAATGAATCAATTAAAACTGATTGAACTTCATAGATTTCCTCCCCCGTATGGGTACACTTTTTTTTGTATCTTCCTCTCCGGGCGAGAAATAAGAATTCATTCATTTATAACTGAAACTGGGCTAATCCGCATCGCTCATCAAGAAATTTATTTTTTTTTTGCTGGGTGTGGGAAGCGCTTGAGATAAATTTCGGATACTCCGGGGCCACATATGCCCCCATTTTTATACTGGTCACGGGGATTACCCGAAGATGAGAACTGGGTTTTTCGATTCGAATCGGAGAGGAAGTAATGGAAGGGAAGGGGCGAGGGGGAGGAAAGGGCGAGGGGAAGGAGAGTGGAACATTAGGGCGCCTGTTGAAATGTCCGCAAACCAAGAGATGCAACCATCTCTATAACACCCCCTTAAATCCGCCCCTTCCCCTTGTACTTGGTGTGTGAATAATACCGTTATTCATTGCATTTTGTTATAAATCTGTCAATTTGCACAATTGTGCGTATCAACCAGAGTTTCACTTGAAATAAAAGTTAATAACTGCAGCAGAAAACTGCCTATAAAACAATCAAATTTATTAAACACTACTTCAGTTTTTGGTTCTCAGACTATTATATTTTTTTTATTCTAATATTTAGAAGATTTTAAAGGTTATAACATAAATTATATAAACTACTTAAATATTCATTCTCCATTTACACTAAATTAGTTGCATTTAAAATTATATCAATTATGTTTTGCTGATATTTAAAAGTAATGTTTAATTATTTGAAGTATGAATAATTGCAATTTATTTTTCAAGTTAGGTTATCAATACACATATTAAGTATATCTTTTTATTTTCTCTTCTCTTAAATTAGTATTCCTTTGAAATACGAAAAATTTGTTTGTAGATACCCAGAGATTTTTTCCAAGTGCAGCATGCTTTATGCTCTATGCAATTCGACAGGGTTCGCTGGGGGATGCAACGGCGTCGAGGGGGTGGCAAGGTGTGGGGTGGTGTGGGGTGGGGTGCTATGGCGTGGCAGGGAAAGTGGGAGGGCAACACACTTCAGCCCTCGGGGGCAGGGTCGCACATGTGTGGCAGCCGCAGGGTGCACGCTCTTCGCGATCCTTCCGCTCTTGCAGCGCTTCTCGCATTTCGGCGGCGACCATAAAAAATGTGTTGCGAAAAACTCGGAAATGGCTCCGAAGGCAAAACAATTTTTACAGGTCACTTTTCAGGGGTATACAAGTTTCGAAAATAAATGAGAAGTTTAGCAAAAACCATAGATTAAATCATTAACTAATAAATATTTATAATATTATTTATAAAGAAATAAAAAAGGTTTTACTTTAATAAGATATACAATTGAATTTGATAGCTAAGTAAAAATAAAAGTTGATTACCTAAATATTCTTTTTTTGTAATTGTAAATAAGATGCTTAAATGCAATTTGGTGTTGTTTATTTATGAAACAGCTTCCATAAGAACTAAATCATATTTCCAGGGTATCAACGGCATCGATTCCTTGAGCCACTCGCCCAATTCCTTGGCTGTTCAATGTTGTTGTTCCGCTGTGGCTGTTGTCCGCGTGTTGATTTATATTCGAAACTGCGCCGAGGCGCAACTAATTTGCCTCGGGTGTTAAGTAGCATGTGAAATAAACGCAACGGGCGAAAGCCAAACACTGGAGGAAGTGGAGGGAAAACTGGGAAAGCACTCGCTTCGAAGGGGGATGGGGAAGGGGGGAAAATCACTGAAAAGGGAAACTCGACTGCATTCAATGCCGTTCGCCGTTTGGTTTGAATGAATGGATGGGATGCATGATATGCGAGCGAGCGAGTGTGTGTGAATGGTCCATTGCCGCTCCATGAATAAATGACCGAGTGCGAATGCGATTGCGATTGCGAATGCGAGTGCTTAAATCAGGAGATCCCAGCTATATATGCTATACATTTGTATATACTCTATGCTGTACACATAGCACTTCTTGTTCAATCGCAACTCGCATACAACATTTCAGCGGAGCGTTTCCGGGAGTCATTTATGAGTTCGTCCAAGAATGCGAGCATTCATCCATTCAGTTTTTCGGGCCCATTCACCGAGGGTCTAGGCATTCACCTTGAATTGGCTCTTTAACAAACATTTAACATTTAAGTTTGTTAGAATGTATTAAAGTTGTACAATAAATGTACGAAATTGAAAAGAAAGAAGTAATGAACCAATTTTAAATAAATATAATATGTGATACCAATATTTATATTGGTATATTTATTATTAAAGGTTTTCCCTTTGAATACGAGTATATATGTGTGTATGTGTTCTTTTTTAATATAGATGAGTAATTGTGAGGGGAAGAAGTCAGACTCCTTCCACTTTTCTTTATCCTATTCATTTATTTAAGACGACTTTGTCGATGGCATTCATTTTTTTGTGGCCATTGAGATGCGAGCCTTTGCTGGGCACTCCAGACACAAGTTTTTGGCTACAAGCCCCAGACATCTCATCATCATCATCTGTATTAGAATCTCACCCTTGACCCTAAACCCGAAAACCCCCAATCCCGAATCCCGAACCCCGAACCCTCCTCAATTTAGGGAACTTGGCTCATATGTGACCCAAAATGGTTCCTCGAGCGAGTCTATCTGCAAACGATTTGTGCACACTCGATTTGACAGTCAGTCAGTCAGTCAGCCAGTTTTCATTCCCCCCTCCCTCTATATATTTCTCCTTTTTTGTAGGGGGGAAGGAAGGAAAACCCTTTCCCTCACCCCAAGCCATTTTCCATTTCCCTTTGCACCGAGAATCGTTTAAATGTTGCCAACAATAATAAAACATTTTAAACTTGCGCCGGCTAATAAAGCAAAAAAAAAAAAAAAAAGGGAAAGGGAAAGGAGGGAAAAGCAACTTGAAATGAAATCAGAGCCACATTGAAAACGGGGGGAAAATGAGGAAAACGTCTGCTTTTCGGCTTTTGGGCAAATATGAAAATGGATCTCGGCAAGGAGGACGACGACGATTTGGGGATTCCATCGCCGGACAATGGAGATAAGGAAAACGGAGCCAAAGGATTCGGCACAAGGCACATGTGCCGGGAAATCGGGCATAAACATTCACTTAGCCATAATAAAAGCCAAGCCGCACACAAAATACTCAAATGAACAACATTTCTATTTGAACGGCGGCCAGCGGAAATTCGGGAATGGGGGGAAAATTTCAGGGAAAATTGAGGGGGTTTTCTTTTTTTTTGGGGGGAGAGAGGGGTCAGAATTCCGCTTGGGGGCAAGTTGGGAATTTGTCAGAAGTTCGGTTGAATGAAGCGTTCCTGGTTGACTTTTTGCCGGCGAGATTGCGTCCGACTGATTAAAAATTGAATGATGAAGGCCCCGAGACGATGACGCTCACATCGAAATTGTTAAACTTGCCACAAGTTTAGGGAAAGGGAAATTTAGGGGCAGGCCTTGTTCTTATACAACCATCGCTACACGGAAAGATATAGTTATAATTTAAGTACAAAAGGTACAATGTTTACAAACAAATTGCAGTCATATTCATTATTTTCAACCTACAAAACGAAGCAAATTTATAAAACAATTTCAACAATACCGACTATTTGGTCAATTTAAATGCCATTTCGGTTGGCAAAACAATGGCAAAGTAATTACAACGATGTAGCCCTCCAGATGGTACGTTGAAAATGGCAAAAACTTTATAATATTGGGAAGAAAGCAGGTGCAATCGATTTAGTTTTATTTTAGTTTCCAACCGCAAACAACGGCCATTTATTCAATGTGTTTAGCAGAACGTTTTAAACTCAATGTAAATGGCGTCATTTTCCTTTTGTAAATTGCGCATTTGGTTTTTAGTGCCCTTGTGACATTACCAATTATTTTCGCGTCCCATTGAACTGATTCGCAAATCCAATTGCGCAGCATTTCTGCGAGTGTAGCTGAGCGGAAGAAAAGCGAAAGAAAACCTTAACCCGCTGGCGCCAAAGTCGCGTGGGTAACACAATAAATTTGCAAGGACAAGGACCCGTTTGGTCTGGTGGTCCTTCGTCTGCTCCTTTCACTGGCAAGGCGCCAAGCCAGCGGATTGTC